CATTGTATGGATATAGCATAATTTATATAATTATAGACATTTCCATTGTTTTTAATATTGTTATTCTTAACAAAACCAAAATACTCTTTTTAAAAAAAATGAATGCTAAGATACTATTTATCTTCTGGATGTTCTGTGTTTCTGATAGTTTTTCTTTTTTTATAATATGCATTTCCTATGACTTTTTTTTAAATATTTATTTATTTGAAAGGCAGAGTTACAGAAGCAGAGGCAGAGAGAGAGAGGGGTCTTCCATCCACTGGTTCACTCTCCAGATGGTCTCAGAGCTGGGCCAATCAAGCTGGGAGCCAGGAGCTTCTTCCAGGTTTCCTAGCCAGGTGCAGGGGCCTGAGGACTTGGGCCATCTGCTGCTTTTCCAAGCCAAAGCAGAGAGCTGGATTGGAAGTGGAGCAGCCAAGACTTAAACCAGCACCCATATGGGATGCTAGCACGGCAGACGGCGGCTTTACCCGTTAGGCCATAGCGCCGGCCCTGATAGTTTTCATATGGCATATTTCACTGTGCTCTTTTTTTTTTCTTTTTTGAATATTTTTACTTATTTACTTGAAAGAAATACAAAGCGGGTGAGAGAGGAAAGAGAGAGAGACAGAAAGAGAGACAGAGACATCTTCCATCTGCTGGGTTTTTTCCCCAAATGGCTGCAACGGCCATAGCTGGGCTGATTCAAAGCCAGGAACCAGGAGCTTCTTCTGAGTCTCCTACATAGGTACAGGGGCCCAAGGCTTTGGGGTGTCTTCTACAGCTTTCCCAGGCCATAGCATGGAGCTGGATCGGAAGTGGAGCATCTGGGACGAAAACTGGCACCCATATGGGATGTCCATATGGCACTGCGGGAGGAGGCTTAGCCTACCGCACCTGGGTCTTGACCCCAGTATTTCCTTTTTTAAAAAAGTCAGTATTTTCTTTTCTGTTTCTCTCGGTTAGTTGTGATTTATTATTACTTTTGGGAATTCTTTATATATTAATAAGGGGTATTAGCCTTTGTCAATGAGTTACAAATATTTTTTCACATTTTTAATATTTGTCTTTCAACTTTGTGGTGACTTGTCAAGTTTTATCAGATGCTGAAAAATTTTAATTTTGTAGAATTGTCTTTTGCAGATTTGGGGCCCTGTGTTATATTTAGACTTTCCTCATCCTCAGATAGTTTTTAAAAATTCTTCCACAGTTTCCTCTGGTACTTTTATAATTAAACAATATTCTTAATTATTCCAAGTTCTAAATTGTTTATTGCATAGGATCAAGTTCCTTGTTTCAATTTACATCTGATCTAGATTAGCAGATCAGTCCTGTGGAAACGCAAAATGACAGTAACAAGGTTGGATTCTGGAGATAATGAGTAGAATTAGGGTTTTTCTGTTTCTGGACTGTGTGACCTTACACGAGCTACTTAATTAAACTCTCTGAGCCTCTGTGACTTCATCTGTAAAATGGAAGTAGTACTTAGTTTGAGGTGAAAATTGCATGAGATGATTCATTTAAAGCCCTTACCATGGTGTTAGACAAGTCAGAAGTACTCATTAAATGCTCTTGCTGTGATAATGATGATGACCATGAACTATTCTTTCAACACCATAACCATCACATAATTCATGACACAAATCAGAATGAGTTGAATACAAAGATATATTCCAAAGTTACCAACATTATCACTTCAGCTTCAACAATCCAACCATCTCTGAGGCCAATACTTCTCAACCTGGGCAAGTACATTAGAATCACCTGAGTAGATTTTTAACCTCCTACTGCCTGGATATGGCCCCGGCGTCAGTATTTTTCAAAAACCTCTGATCATTCCAATGGGCAGCAAAGGTCTAGAACCATTATTCCAACCCTAGGCCAACAGTTTCAGGCATGGAGGGAAACGTACTCATCGCTTCTAAATACAATGCACAGAAACATTTCATTGGTAAAATGTCAGGAATTTGTTGGAAAGATATTGAGAAGAGAACCTAGAGGAGTTGAGACATGTCAGAGATGTGAAGAAAGGGCTTGCAAAGTTAAGATGCTCTTTGTATATATTTATAAGGCATCTCTCTCAGAAAAGCCCAGAGCAGCTGTACTCTACATATTTTTATAACATTGCTAAGTAAGGGACATGGAGTGCTTCCATTTGTTACATGTGTTAATGGCACTGTTCAATTAGACAAATTTAATATTCTTATTACCCTATTGCTTTCCTGGATAATTCTTGAGGATGTTGTTCTGACCATCAGTAAAAATATATATTTTTTTTTTTTTTTGACAGGCAGAGTGGACAGTGAGAGAGAGACAGAGAGAGAAAGGTCTTCCTTTTTGCCGCTGGTTCACCCTCCAATGGCCGCCGCTGCAGCCGGCGCACCGCGCTGATCCTGGCAGGAGCCAGGAGCCAGGTGCTTTTCCTGGTCTCCCATGGGGTGCAGGGCCCAAGCACCTGGGCCATCCTCCACTGCACTCCCTGGCCATAGCAGAGAGCTGGCCTGGAAGAGGGGCAACCGGGACTAGAACCCGGTGTGCCGGCGCCGCAAGGTGGAGGATTAGCCTATTGAGCCACGGCGCCGGCTCAGTAAAAATATTTTTTTAAATTTATTTGAAAGAGTTACAGAGCGAGTTAGAGACAGAGTAGGGGGAGTGGGTCTTCCATCAGCTGTTTCACTCCCCAAATGGCCTCAATGGTCAAGGCAGGGCCAGGCCAAAGCCAGGAGCCAGGGGCCTGGAGCCTCTTCCAGATCTCCCATGTGGGTGCAGAGGCCCAAGGACTTGGGCCATCCTCCACTGCTTTTGCAGGCGCATCATCAGGGAGCTGGATTGGAAGTATAGCAGCAGGAACTTGAACCAGTGCCCATATGGGATTCCAGTGCTGCAGGCTGGTGCTGTAACCCTCTGTGCCACAGCACCAGCCCCTCATCAGTAAAATTTTATCCCACTCTGCATTTTAGCAGTTTAGGAAGAACTTGCAACGGTATTTTAGTTCATTTATAGCATGTGAGTAGGGTACACCAGAAAATTAGGTATTATCAAATCTAAGGAAAGCACTACGGAGTAAAGGAGTCAGGAGGCCTGTGTTCCAGTTCCTGAGCTTCAACTTCCTTGGGTCTAAACTGAGCCAGATTCATATCCGTCCTGCCTGACTAGCATATTTACACTTGACAGTGGGCTCTGTACCTGGAAGGTGACTGCCGGGATGAGGCCTTGCATCTGGAGGCTATGGGAGCTTGCTGGAGCTGTGGCTTTCTGCTGCCCTTTTATGGCGCCTGTGGATTACTTCACTAGGCACCCATCCTGGGTCCTCTTTCAGCATTTTTTCTTCATCTTTTCTCCTTCTCTTTATGCATTATATTACCCATGCTCATTAGCACTCACACGATCCTTGTACTGGTGTGTTTATATCATCTCTTCCCTAAAACATTGCCTTTTTTGAGGCCACGGGGCATGTACGTTATGTCTTTTTTTTTAGAGTGAAAAAAATTTTTTTTGACAGGCAGAGTTAGACAGTGAGAGAGACAGAGACAGAAAGAAAGGTCTTCCTTTTTCTGTTGGTTCACCTCCCAAATGGCCGCTATGGCCAGTGCGCTGCGCAGATCCGAAGCCAGGAGCCAGGTGCTTCCTCCTGGTCTCCCATGTGGGTGCAGGGCCCAAGCACTTGGGCCATCCTCCATTGCCTTTCCGGGCCACAGCGGAGAGCTGGACTGGAAGAGGAACAACCAGGACAGAATCCGGCGCCCCAACCGGGACTAGAACCCCCGGGTGCTGGCGCCGCAGGCGGAGGAGTAGCCTAGTGAGCTGCGGTGCCAGCCTGTTATGTCTTACATGAGCAAGTACATTGCTGACATACATAAAAAGAAGCTTGATAAATATTTAATTGAATTAGACAGTTAAAAAGTTAAATGATTTTAATTTCATTGCATTTTCTACTTCTTTTTTGTGTTACTTTATCTTTCATAGCTGCTTTTATAATGCTTCTATTTGTTTTTATATGAAGTCTCACTTCATGACAGAATCCTTTAAATGCCTTCTGAATCTAGTAATGAGTGTTTCAGTCTCAAAAGCTAAGTAATTAATAAATAACTATGATACCAAGATACAGAAATAATAATACATTAGGTAAGCTTCTAGTAGCAAATGTGTAGAGTGCCTTTAAATGTTATTTGATTAGGCAGTATAGGTATGCTATCAATTTATTATGAACACACTAAAACTAAACTTTTGAATATATTATAATTTTCTAAAGTTATTTTGAAGTAATGAACTATGTGTAATATTTATTAAATATTAAAAATTAAACCCTAGGAATGTAAGTCAGAGAACTAGGTTATAATTGAATTGACATTTGAGTAAGATAGAGGGAAAATTGGGTTTGACAGTATTTTGATGAGATTGCATGAAGTTTCAATGTTGATTAGTATAAGAAAAAAATCTAGCTGTTTGAAATTTTGTTAATAGTAAATATTACTGCTTTTAATCATGATTTTAACCAAATCACTTTAACCCACCAAATAGTGAGATCTGAAATATAAATATGGAAACATTCAGAGAGAATTTCATGTTTTTGCTTAACAGGTTGGAATTCTGAGTTGTGAGAGTTTCCATACGGGTTGAAGTCTAGTTACAGGTTTGAGTCTACCTTCCTGGGCTCTAAATTTTTCACCTGCTAAACTGGTAATTTGCACCTAGTAAATTAATACTTTCTAGGTAGAGAGTTCTAACTTATCACTCAATATACTATTTGAAAACCAGTTTAAAGCATCAAATCCTTAACTGCCCAGTTTTTTGAAGAGTGTATTCAGACTAAGGTGTATGCTTATTAGTGAGAGCATTTTCAAGGTTCTGTGACTTTTGTGTTCTATACAGGATGAATATGTGGTGTAATACCATTAATGATTTTTAAAACACCCAGAGTATTTTTCCTTTCACAATGTTTATTTTGCTAGATATATAAACAGCTAAAAGAAGCCTGAAATTAAAAAATGTTAACTGTTGATTTAAATAGATTTCTTACACCTTCTGCTCCCAAGTACAATTGTACTGTTTGAAGACATAAAGTTGATCCCGCGTCGTTTCTGTAATTATTATCATTCCACAGAACTGATAATTAGAAGAAATGATGAACGAAGCTTACTTTTAGACTTACTCTTTCTTGTTAGTTTGCAAATAAGCAGGTATAAAAACCAGCAGCAGCAAACACACACACACACACACACACACACACACACACAAAACCGGTGAACATTGAGTTACTTATAGTTTCGAAAATTCTTTGGAATTCAAAAGTCACATGTATTATGAACATTTAAGCTGGTTTCATACATGAAAATTACTGACACGGGAAAGTTGGTTTACAGAAAATATCACCAATAAATCTATACTCTTTTAAAAATCCTAATTGAATTAAACATAGATCCTTGGCAAAATAAATACAGTGGCATAAATACGACTTTTTAAAGGTGCGTTAATTGTGGGTAAGTGGGAGTCCCATAGGCGTGATAACATTTTAAACACACTTTTTTGATTTTTCTCCTCTGCTGCCCAGATCTTTGAATTGTCCCAAGTATTAAAAAGAAAGGCTGTCAGGATAGGTGTAGCCCGTTCAAGATGGATGTTTACGCATGCAAACTCTTTTCAGAGACATGGATTCTAATTTTGAAGAACAAAACTATTCCCCCCAAAATTATTTCTTCCTCTTCATTTCACTCCCCACCTTTAAACTGCAAGTTAAATCGTAACTGGAGTCCGCTTCCCATCGTGCAGCCAAGCGCTGGTGCCAGGCTTGCGGGTGAGGGCTCCACTTTGTTAGCCGGGTGTTTACGAAACCCCAGCGGCTCGATCTTTTGGCTGATAATCTCAAACATGGAGGATGCTTCTGATCCTTCACGAGGGGTTGCTCCATTAATTAATAATGTAGCTCTCCCAGGCTCTCCGCCGTCTCTTCCTGTATCAGTGACAGGCTGTAAAAGTCATCGAGTAGCCAATAAAAAGGTAGCAGCGAGCAGCGAAAAGCTCCTCCCAGCCGCTCTTCCTCCTTCGCAGCCGAAAGTAGATCAGAAACTTCCCAGGAGCTCCGAGAGGCGGGGAAGCGGCGGTGGGACGCGATCTCCCCGCGCGGAGACGGGCAGTGGCAGCGGGAGAGGCGGCAGCCGCGGGCGCGGCGGGGCAGGCGAGAAGGGAACCCCTGGGGGGACGGAGCCGCCCCTCGCCGCTCTTGTAGCTGAGAGGGGAAGCGAAGCGGCCGTCGGCGTGCTCGCAGGTGAGGGACTCCGCGCGGCGGCTCGGGAGCCGGCCGGCGCCGCCAGGGAAGTGTGGCGAGAACCGGGGAACAAAGCGGAGCGGCGCCGGGGTCCGCCCGCGGCGAGCGCCCTCGCGGCGTGGGGCCGGCCGGCTGCGCGCCGAGCACGTTGTGAGCCCGGCGGCGGGCGGGCGGGCGGGGAGCCGGGGCTGGGGGAGGGGGCCGCCGCTCCCGCACCGCCCGCCCGCGGCAGGGCGTGCGGCCCCATTGTGAGCCGGCTGCCGGGCGAGCGGCGGCGGGGCGCGCTAGGAGGGCCGAGGCGGCGGCTCTGCTCGTCTAAGACTCCCGCCGGGGCAGGATTGAGAACTCAGCTCCGGTAGCAGTCGGGGCGCGTCAGTCACACAAAAGGCAGCCGAGCTCGCCCCCGGCGCGCGGACCGGCCCACGCCGCCGCCGCCGAGCGCTCCCCACCTTACCGGCTTTCCTTTCCCTCCAATTTTGATAGGGAAGCCGGGCCGACGCGGGCGGCCGAGGGTCGGGGCGAGCCCGCGGGGCGGACAGGAGATGCCGCTGCTACACCGAAAGCCGTTTGTGAGACAGAAGCCGCCCGCGGACCTGCGGCCCGACGAGGAAGTTTTCTACTGTAAAGTCACCAACGAGATCTTCCGCCACTACGAGTAAGGGCCGGGCAGGGCACAGGGGACGCGGCGGGGTGTGGGGACTCCCTCTCCAGCGCCCTTTTGTCTCTCTCCTTTTCCTCGCCCGGGGTTTCTGTCGGGGCGACTTGAAAGTGACGGGTGGCCCTGGGCCCCGCGGTTTTCTGCCTCTGGCGACCGCACGCGGCCAGCGGCTGCGGCGCGCTGGGGGGTAAAACGGGCTGGGGCGGAGGCGGCTGGGGTCCCCCGCCGGCCGCGAGGACCGCTCCTGGCCGCGGCTGTCTCCGGGCTGCGGGGCGGCGGAAACTCCCCGCCTCGCCCCTCCCCGCCGCGGCCACACGCGCACTCCGGGGCCAGTTCCGGGATCCCCGCCCGGGACCGAGGGGATCCCCGCTCGGGTCAGCGTCGCGGGGCCGCAGTCCCCCCCAGCCCCCGGGAGGGAATCCCTAACCCCGAGAGCAGGAAACCGCTGGGCAGGGCTGCGTTTCCTCGGTCGGGAGTGGGGTCTGACGTTGGAGCCGCCGGGGCTAGGGGTGGGAGGGACCGGAGTTGAGACTCCCTCTGGAAGGGAAGGAGGGGGCTTCCCAACCGGCCGCGGGTGGCGGGACCCGGACGCCGGAGACCCGTGCCGGCGGCTTTCCAAGCCCGCGCGGCTAGGCCTCGGAGTGCGCGACGCGAGCCGTGCGCCCTGTCACCGCCTCTTCTTGGTGACTAACTCCGGTCCCCGGGGAACTCAGCGTCTCCGCCCCCGGGAGACCGGTGAGGAAGCAGTCGGGGCCGGGCGGGGGAGGAGGGGGAGTGGAAGGGGGAAGCGAGCAGGGCCCTGGGCGCCCCCTCGTTTTCACTTTCGCGTAGCCCGGAGCGCGGCGGTGGGACTTGGGGGAGGGGTTGAGACAAGTTCAACTCCAGCCCGAGCCGGGCTCGCCCCTCTATCCCCCTGCGCCTGTGGGCCGCCTGACATGTGCCACTCGCTATTGTTTTGATAAGAACCCCGAGCTGCTTCTGGTGTGGTTTCAACCCCCGGATTTTCAGCCCGGCGCCTGAGAGCCCCTCGTCCTCCAACACGTAGTGTGAGGGTATGTGCTAGCGGTCTTGGCTCAAACAGGGTCTCCTGTGTGGGAACTTGAATTGATCAATCACTGGAGCTGCCCGATTCTCCTTTATTTTCCTTAATGTTTTATCCTCCCCACTCGGAAGGAATCCCTTTGTGGCTTAGAAGCCAAGTGTTGTTGCCACCAAATCCATTGCATGGAGGAGGCTTTTTTTTTCTGAGTGGGTGCTTCACGGAGGGCGGGCTTTAGGCAAGCTTCTGCACCTGTCTGAGAAGTTAGGTCCAACAGGTCGGTTCCCTTGAGCGTTTATTTTAAATAAGCCTGCTTTTTCTTCAGCTCCCCAGAAAGGGTTACACCATAGACATGTTATATCTGGAGTAGTAGATAGCACGTCTCAGCAGACAGTACTCTTGTAGGAGGGCTCATCTCACCGTGTTCCTGTACAGACTTGTTTTGCTACTCGGAGTTCACACTTGTAACTGCTTAAATGAGGTTGGATTAGGTAACTGGACAAGGATGATATCTTTTTTTTTTTTTTTAAGTTTAAACTGAAATCTTTGGAGACAATTCTAGTTTCTTTAAAAAAAAATGTATTTAGAAGTGTGAAGAAAGTAGGAAACGGGCTTAAATTTCCAAGTTTCTCCTTTAATGTAAGCAGTCTTATCTTTTTCAGAGGCTCACCTCACTTTAGCTGGTAGGGTGAATATGGCTATTATCCTTATAAATTAAACACAATGTACTTTGGCTCTTGAGATGAATTTACTCTTAACCGTGGAGAAACCTGAAATAAATAAAAGTTTGACATTCTAAATCTAAATCTATCTATCTTTCATAATATTAAGGAGCTGTGTCCTTTGTAATCGTATGACATTTAAACATTTTTAAATAACTAGGTTTTGAAATTTTGGCTTTTTTCTCTGTGCTGAAGTATTTAGGTTTTTGGAAATTACAACCAGTTGAAGAGAACTGGTTGGTGTGGGAGCTAAGATTTGATTGCTTACCCTGAATAAAGCAGTACAGTTGGTGTTCTTGGGTATTAACCTTGATGACTTTTAACTGGCAAAATTGAAGAAGCTTGCTGTTTGATCATGTTAACTATTGAATTACTTTTCTCTTACATGAGTATAAGGAAAGCTTTTTAAAACTGTTTATGATGGGTGGTATATGGTGGTCTGCCCTATTATGGTAATCTCACTCTTGTCACAAGGCAGGAGAAACTAAGGAAACTAGTTCTCACTCCATTCATTCATTCCCTGATTGGTTTACATGATTTTGCTTGAAGATTATCCTTTGAGTGCATTATTTTGAGTATTTTGTGGTACCACTGTGCTCATCTGTTTGCAGTATTTGCTCCCTTTCCTTTCTCTAGCTTAGGGTCTCCTGTTATTGCTGTTATGCAGCATATTTGTTGCCTCACATTTTTTTCTTCCCCAAGACCCTGAATCCTATGATACAGAGACTACGACCAGGGTGGATTCTCAGTCATTATACAGTACATACTCTTTAATTTTGTTTGTTTAAACTATGTGCTTCTAACTAATTGCTGACTCTTGTTTGACCTGCTTTCATTCGTAAAACTTAATAGAAATAGCATATTATAGACATGTATAGACGGAAATACTTAATTTTGTTTCTTAAATTAGGTAAAGATTCATTCTGTCATTTTGGATAGCTGACAATGTTAGTTTTTAATTTATCTTTGGCTTTGGTTTATTAAAAAATTGAGCAGTTGGGTTTGAATACCAGAAATTCTAGATCTGTGAGGTAGGAAATAATTTGTTCTATTAACCAATGACTTAATCTCCTAAATAAAAACGATTTTTTAATCCATTTAGATATTTGGAATGGAAATACGCTTCACGACTTTGAGTCTAACTTTCATACAAAATATAGAAATCTCTTCCACACATAGCTAATGGGCAGTGTAGCTTGTCTTTCAGCCTGGCTTTCCGGCAACAAAGGTTGAGCTACTGTCTGGCATCCTGATTTTGTTCCTCACTAGCTCTCAAGTTAATGCAGTCCTTTCGCAGATGAGGGAACTGAGGATTGGAGTAAGTCCAAGACATGGTGTGCAGAATCATTTGTCTAGCAGGTGATGACCTAGAATTCCAGCTCACATCTCAAAGACTCTAGAGTTTATTATCTTTATAATAAACAGTAAATGATTATTAATAGGGAATTTCTGATATCTGAAATTTTCAGAATTATGCATCAAGAAAACAGGGATATTGCCTGGAATTCAAGCTGGCTGCCCTGGTCTTTGTGTAGGTCCCACTTGACCATCTGCTCAGACATTGACCTTACTACATCCCAGCATGATTAAAATCTAGTTATTAAATTGACAGACCAGAATGATGTCAATTTTTAGTGGGGAAAATGCCTTCGCACCAATGAATTCTGATACTGATCATCAGTTATGTATAAAATCTAGTTATAATCAAAGGCTATTCAATAAGTATGGGGTTTTTAAGAGAAGCTGGATAATCTTCATTGCTAGTTTCTTCAAATTAGGTATTTAGCTTTTCTTTTGGAATATGTCTGCCACATTGACCCAATACTCGGGTCTATAAGTTCTCTCCTTTTTTTTTTTTTTTTTCTCATGGTGTAGCAGGGGTCCCTAAATGCTTTGCTTTTGGGGGTGTTTATTTTTTAATCCATTTATCAAGCTACCATATGGTATACTAACGTATCCTTTCTTCAGACAGATAGTATATATATTAGTTACTATAGTGTAAAATGCTGCTCCAAAAGTTAGTGGCCCAAAGTAACAACCAGTGTGTCTGCTCACTATTGTGTGGATTCTGTTTGATTTCCACTGGTCCCTATTTATTCACCCAGCTGCCCTCAGCTGGAGGCTAGGCTCAGGCTGGATGGAGCAAAAGATGGCCTCAGTCAAGGAATGTGACCTTGGCTACAAGAGTTCTCTCTATGTGGTCTTTCATCCTCAGGAGGCTAGCCTGTGCTGCTTTGTGGGCAAAAGTTCTCAGTGTTGTTTCTGTATCACATGGGTTAACACAAATCATAAGGCCAGCCCAGGTTCAAGGGATGGTGAAATAGACTATACCTCTTGGCAAGAAGAGCATCAGTGCCATATTTCAGAGGAACCTGCACACCCTTAGCCCTGTTTGGGAGTAGTCTACCACAAGTAGTTGATAAAAGATATTATCCTTACTGAATTTGGGGTGTTCACAGATAAACTAATTGATGCTATCTGTCAGAATACAATGAAAACCATCCTAACAACTTGTGAACATACCTTGTTGCTTGCCCCTGTGCTATTTAATTTCTGTTGCTCCTTTGTTTGCTCTCAGGAGTTGCCAAGAAGTATTTTCAGATATTTAAGATACTTAATTCTGGCTGGCGCCGTGGCTCACTAGGCTAATCCTCCGCCTGTGGCGCCAGCACACCGGGTTCTAGTCCCGGTCAGGGCGCCAGATTCTGTCCCGGTTGCCCCTCTTCCAGGCCAGCTCTCTGCTGTGGCCCGGGAGTGCAGTGGAGGATGGCCCAAGTGCTTGGGCCCTGTACCCCATGGGAGACCAGGATAAGTACCTGGCTCCTGCCTTCAGATCAGCGCAGTGCGCCGGCCCCAGCGCGCCAGTCACGGCGGCCATTGGAGGGTGAACCAACGGCAAAAGAAGATTTTTCTCTCTGTCTCTCTCACTGTCCACTCTGCCTGTCAAAAAAAAAAAAAAGAAAAAAATACTTAATTCTGCTTCTTCCTACCCCATATCTGATGCCAAAATTTCTTTTTGACCATTCTCAGTCTTTAAGTGTTCCTCTGACATTCTCTGTCATATTTGTTATTCTCTTAAGAACTCTTCTGCCAGTGTGGTGCCTGGACAAATTAGAATTGGTAATATTCATTGAGTACATCTGTACTATGGGAGCATTATGCTAGATTATTTGATTTTCACATCAGTGTTCATGGAAGGCATTACCCTCATTTTATAGAGGGGGAACTTATCCAAT